TCAGTAATGCTTCGTTCGGTTACGGCAGGCCGTCCGTAATTCCAGGCTCCGGAAAGAGGTCCAACTCGACCTCACCTCGGGCTTAAGCTTTTCACGAGGCCATTTCTGTCAGCCAAATCCTTTGAGCCTGATCCGTCCATCACGGAGAGCTTATCGGGACCCTTAGGCCATGGTAAACTAGCAAATTCCTCAGTGGGGCCTAATTCCAAATGTAGCGCAGTCTCGCGGACCTTACGGTCGCAAGCCTGCCGCCAACCCTCAACTGGGTAGGACGGCTCAAAAGTGCTATTTAGGGAAGCCTGTCTATCGACAAAACTCGGCCTCAACAAAAGTTGGAAAATCTAACGAAGCCTGTCTACCGACCAAACTCGGCCTCAACAAAACTAGGAAAATCTAGCAAAGCCTGTCTACCGACCAAACCGGCCCCAACAAAACTTGGAAAATCTCCTCTGAAAAATCCCTAAATAGCGCGCCTCTTCTTTTCGAGCGCATATGCATAAATTCTCACAAACCGCAGGCTGCGCCTGCGGCGTTTGAGAACTGATTTCTTGAAAGACGAAATAACTATTTTTCGAGTAAGAGTAAGCTCTCAACCTCGTGTAGTAGCGTTTAGTTCAAACTTTCAAAATTCAAACAACCCGCAGGCTCCGCCTGCGGCGTTTTAACACAAATTATTTCTTATCAGTTCAGCTTGAAACAGTCGGTGCTTCTCTCAACTGAGTCATCATGAAAGCTGGAGTTTTTCTATATTTTTCAAACGGCGCGCTATTTAGGGATTTTTCAGAGGAGATTTTCCAAGTTTTGTTGGGCCCGGTTTGGTCAGTAGACAGGCTTCGCTAGATTTTCCTAGTTTTGTTGAGGCCGAGTTTGTCGGTAGACAGGCTTCGTTAGATTTTCCAACTTTTGTTGAGGCCGAGTTTTGTCGATAGACAGGCTTCCCTAAATAGCACTTTTTTTGTGGCCGTCCCGCGGCCCAGTTTTTCGAGGGTTTTCCGAGTTTTGTTGGCAACCGCAGGTTGCCTTCCTGTTGATGCTGAAGAATAATTTGAAGCTCAGGCTTCAAATGTGATTTACTGTGGTGGCTTCGCCACCACATCTTCAACAAAAGTTTAAATTGCGGTGGCTGCGCCACCGCGTTATTTTTTCATTTTTTAATGTTTTTCATGTATTTTGAGTCATTTTGAGGTGAGTTATATCATTTTGAAACGTTTTGAAATGTTTCGATTCATTTCGAAATGCTTTGATTTGTTTCGCAAAGACTCGAAATGTTTCGAAATTATTTGTTTTGGTTGTAAATAACTTTTTATGACTCGAAATTCGATTTTTTCGATTTTTTCAAATTTTTAATTTTTTATATTCCAAGTTTTGGGACATTTTGGTATCAAAAATTTAGATTTCAATTTTCTTTTCTATTTAAAATTGATTTTGTTGACTTTTCTAGAACAGAAAAACAACATTTTTATGCTATTTGTGAAAATTTCATCACGATACCTTCAAAACTCATTGAGATATGAAATTTCAAAAAAGCGAATTTTTCGACCTTTGACGACTCATAACTTTGTTGAGAATGAAGTTATACACAGGTTTGTTACAACTAAAATGATCAGCGTAAAATTCTGTACAACATATGTAAAAAAATTGAAAAAAATGATTTTTCCCACTCAAAATTTGTGCCTCGAAAAAAATTTTTTTCTTTTTGATTTTTTTCTGAATGAAAACTTATTTTTGTTGAACTCACAGTTGCATTTTCAAATCGTTTGATATAACTTTTCAGCCGGTTTGGTCAGAAATGGCGAAAATCGCCTTTTTCGGTTTTCGATTTTTTAATAATTTTGTAAATAAAGATTTTTTTGATAAAATTTTTCATCTGTTGCGTTTTTGTGGGGGCGGCTGCCCCCACACCCCTCGCCAAGGCCGCCTGACAAGTTTTTTTGTAGGTTTTCGGCTCTTCGAAAATTCATGCATTTTTGAAAAGTGCGAAAAATTAGTCAAAAAAATCATGATTTTTCAAAATGAATTTATTTTTTTAAATAAAACAACAAGTCTTTCTTTAATATATCTGAAAATTTCATTACGCTACCTTCAAAACTCATAGAGATATGAATTTTTTTGAAAAACCCTTACAGTAGACTTTGAGCTACCGTAACTCGAAAAACGAGCACCGTGTCACACATGTTTTTGACAGTTCTGCCAGAATCAGAATAAAAATTCTACACAACATATGTGAAAAGCAAAAAATTTCGTCGATGCGCGACGAAATCCATTTCTGAGATCCTGTTCCTAAATAGGGCGCAGGCCAAGCCTGCGCCTAAGCCTAACCCTCGAAAAGCCTGGGTCGAAAGACGACCACAAAAAGGGGGGGCTATTTAGGAATCCTTGGATCAAATTGGACAAAACTGGGAAAATCAAAAAAGCCTGAAAACTTAAAAAGACGAAATCCAACAAAACTAGGAAAATCAAAAAAGCCTGTAAACTGAAAAAGACGAAATCCAACAAAACTAGGAAAATCAAAAAAGCCTGTAAACCAAAAAAGCTCGAATCCAACAAAACTAGGAAAATCAAAACCCCGCGAAAATAGCGTAAAACGCTATTTGACCCTAAATAGCGCGCCTAATTCAGAAAGCCGTCTTTCCTTTACAGGTTATCCCGCGTTTTCTTCTTTTAGAATAGGCGATTTGGTTCGACTTGAGAAAAAGTGATGCGGAATGATTCAAAATGGAGCAAAACGCTTCGAAATGTCTCGAAATGTCTCGAAATGAATCGAAATGTTTTGAAATGAATCGAAATTATTATAAATGCCTCGAAATTGCTTGAAACGCTTTGAAATGATTCGAAATGTTTCAAATTGTTTCGAAATTTTTGAAATGACTCGAAATGAATCGAAATAGATTCGACATGCTTCGAAATGCTTCAAAAAGATCCGAGTTGTTTTGAAATGCTTCGAAATAATTCGGAATGGTCCGAATTGCTCGAAAGTGCTTCAGATTGCTCAAAAAATTTCGAAATTGCTCGAAATGTTTTAAAATGAAAGAAAATCGAAATCACACTATGAACCCCCCTCCGACGGCGCGCTATTTAGGGTCAAATAGCGTTTTACGCTATTTTCGCGGGGTTTTGATTTTCCTAGTTTTGTTGGATTCGAGCTTTTTTGGTTTACAGGCTTTTTTGATTTTCCTAGTTTTGTTGGATTTCGTCTTTTTCAGTTTACAGGCTTTTTTGATTTTCCTAGTTTTGTTGGATTTCGTCTTTTTAAGTTTTCAGGCTTTTTTGATTTTCCCAGTTTTGTCCAATTTGATCCAAGGATTCCTAAATAGCCCCCCCTTTTTGTGGTCGTCTTTCGACCCAGGCTTTTCGAGGGTTTTCCGAGTTTTGTTGACAACCGAAGGTTGCCTATTATGAAGAACTACTTTTGCGTGGTCAACATTAGCCTCAATTGGTTTTTTATCCATTTTCCAACAAAATTCAAATTTTTCCAACAAAAGTTTTTCTTTCAACAAAAGTTTTTCTTTCAACAAAAGTTTCTCTTTCAACAAAACTTTCAACAAAAGTTTTTTTCAAAGATTTTTCTCAAGTTTTCGGAGTTCTCATGTCTTTTCGCAAATTTTTGATTTTTAATAATTTTGTAAATAAAGATTTTCCATTAGTTGTTGTTTAATGTTTTGCGTTATGTGGGGGCGGCTGCCCCCACACCCCCGCCAAGGCCCCCTGACAAGTTTTTCTCGGGTTTTAAGGTGAGTTATGAAATTTTGAAAAACCCATTTTTTGACATTTGGCGGCTCATAACTTTGTTGAGAGTGAAGTTACACATGGTTTTGTTACAACTAAAATGATCAGCGTAAAATTCTGTACAACATATGTGAAAACTGAAAAAATAAATTTTTCACTCTAACATGCCCAACTCGTCCACTCGAAAATCAAAATTTTTGGCTTGAAAAAAAAATTTTTTTCTTTTTGAGTTTTTTGAGATGAACTTTATTTTATTGAACTCACAATTGCATTTCGAGTCGTTTGATATAATTTTTTTAGCCGGTTTGGTCGAAAAAAATAGCGAAAATCGCCATTTCGGGTTTTTCGAATTTTTAATAATTTTGTAAATAAACATTTTTTTCGATAAACTTTTTTAAATAGCTTGAATTGATGAGGACTACCGCCTAAATAGGTTGAACAAGTACTCTGACAGGTTTTTTTGTGGGTTTTCGGCAGTTCGAAAATAGTGAAAATTTTGAAAATGCAAAAAAATTAGTCAAAAAAATCATGTTTTTTTCAAAATGATTTTATTTTTTTAGATAAAACACCAAGTCTTTACACACTACATCTGAAAAATTTCATTACTCTACCTTTTAAAACTCATTTAGAAATGAATTTTTTTGAAAAACCCATTTTTTGACCTTTGACGGCTCATAACTCTCTAGGATGGACGGTGGCACACGGTTTTGCCAGCTTTAAATTAATCAGAAAAAAATTCTACACAACATATGTCGAAACTAAAAAAAGTTATCCACGCACGTCCGCATCGACTTCTGAGATCCTGTTCCTAAATAGGGCGCAGGCCAAGCCTGCGCCTAATTCTATTGTTTTTTATTCATGAAAAAACGATAAAATTATATTCGACATTTTGAAAACTGCATTTTAAAACTTACCTTTGATACGTTGGCTTTTGATCAGCTTTTTTATCCTTGGAATTGTCTCGTTTCGTAGGATTTTCAGATGCACTTGTGCTTCATATGTTCTCAAAGTTTTCGTAGTTCATATTTTTCTATTGAAATGGTTTTCAATTTGCATATTCTGTTAGTGTTTTTAGTCTTTTTATCATAAAAAAATAAAATTTTCTTGAAGATTCTGATGACTTTTTGAGAAAAAAATTTTTTTGAAATTTCGAAAAAAATACCCATTTTTGGATCTTTGGCGGCTCATAACTGTCTTGAATATAATGTGACACATGGTTTTGTTACAACTAAAATGATCAGCGTAAAATTCTCTACAACATATGTGAAAAACTGAAAAATGATTTTTCTCACTCTAACATGCCCAACTCGTTCGCTCGAAAATCAAAAACTTTTTGACTTCAAAAAAAATTTTTCTTTTTTTGAGTTTTTTTGAGATGAACTTTATTTTTATTGAACTCACTATTGAATTTTCAAGTCGTTTGATATAAGTTATAGCCGGTTTGGTCAAAAACTGGCGAAAATCGACTTTTTCGGTTTTCGATTTTTTTAATAATTTTGTATATCACGACTTTTTTGCTTAAAAATTTTTATATTTTTGCGTTTTGTGGGGGCGGCTGCCCCACACCCCTCAAGGCTCCCTGACAAGTTTTTTCGGCGCGTTTTCGGCTCTTCGAAAATTCATGAAAAAAATTTGAAAAGTGCGAAAAATTAGTCGAAAAAAATCAACATT